GCACCATGCCTATCAAGCCACAAGGGGATGGGTAGCTGTGGAAGATAGGCATCGCTGCAGTGTAATGCGGGCACTCTGATCTGCTAGATACCCGGGCCGAGTACCCGCTCCACGTATTCGCTCGCCATGGTATTGTGATACATCTACGGCTGATAGCGCCTTATAGGACAACTGTGGGAGCGTTCTTCCGAGGGCTGGGCACCACTTGTTCTAGCATTTCCTAGATGAATATGAGGTAATGCGAGCCTATGGGTTGCGCTCGTAAAATTGCTGGTACTGAGGGTACCCGTCCCTAACGGTATCTGCGTCACCAGAAGAGCCATACCATAAGCTGTTGAAGCTTTCCCCCCCTCTTTTTAAACGTCTTTTGGAATTGGTGATGATCAAACTTGCTCAGAGTTGCTCCAAACAAGACGAGAACTGGCATACTTGACACATTAGGTCTGCGCAGGAGAATATACGTCCACCATAGTGTAAATACATTTCGCTGCGGAGTCGTTCTGTGCCGCTGGTCTGTTACTGCTCCGTATGCATGTCTTAAATATTGAGAGCTTCAAAGTCCAAGTCAACCGTCAGAACGCCCATAGTAGAACACTTGCCGCGCGAGCCATCGTCGAGCTATTTCGGCTTGTGAAGCGCGAGGAGGAAATCAACCGCCAAATTCTTGCCTTCTCAATTTCGCTCGATCATCGACTTGTTAGAATCCACGGTCATTATCCTGTGATAGATGGCAAGAACACGACCTACTACCGCCATCCAGTTCGTACATTCGATTGCACTGAGCTGGACGGCAAGGAGAAGTGGACGGCTTATCAGTTGACGAGGAACATCTCCACCCTTTGAATACCGACACACCTCTTCAGCGGGACAGGCGGGCTCGGTTGGCCGCCATTCTTTGAGGGCATCCATTGCTGAGAACAAATCCTCGTTCTGAAAGAAATCCAACGCTCTCTGGTGGACAGTGAACCCGATTGCGGCGTGCATCCTCTTGTTGACAGCGCCATTCGTGTGGCCTTGATGTAAGTTGCGGACTGAAGTCGCCGGCTTCACGTTTCCAGCAAGCCGCTGCAGCAGAGACTCTCTTTGCGCAATGCAAGAGTGGACATGCTGATCCTGCAAGTTGCACATAATCGTTTTTGCCTGTGAGATCCGTTCTCGAAGCCAGGTTACTGAGGGCAGCTCGAAGGCTTTCTTCACTCGCTCTCTCCCAGCTGGAGTCCAGTGAGCGGCAAACAAAGGTACCGGTCCGGTCGAACTCATGTGGATCTCGGTCCGAGGATGCAGAGTACGCCCATCAGCGACGGGAAACTAACGGAGATATCGGCAGCCTTGACGACCGAGTCAAGGAGCCCCACAATCGTTGCCCACTTCCTCCCGGCCCAAAGAATGTTGTATACTTTCCGCTCGATCCCGTCATCGTTGGGTAGCGCATCCTTAATTCGCCTCACGATCAGGTCGATTGATGTGCCTTTCGCGTGCAGTTGGGCCAGCGCGTAGCAGTGGAATCGTTTTGATAGCTGTCGCAGTTCGATTGCTTGGTCGGATTGTTGGACGGAGAGGAAGATGCGTACGTATATGTCATGTTAGTCAACAGGCATCAGCGGGTAGACCTGGCGGCCGGCTGCTGCGAACGTTCGCTGTAGGACTTGACACGGGTATGAGTTCTCAAGCTCCTTGATCTCGTCTGCTTGAGGCAGCAATTGAAGTTGTATGCTCGATTTGGCTCGCCGGGTATCGGGGCCCGACTGCACTGCCCCTGAGTTCGGCGCTTTTTTCTTATGGATCCTGCGCGGTTTGCAAAAGAGGTGAGGAGCCTTGTCATATGCCTTTCGCAGAAGCTCGGCCTGCACAGAATTAGTCGGTCGTTCTTACTAAAGCGGGGGGCCACTAGCCTCCGCAGGTGTGATGGTTGAAAAGTCCTCATTGCGAAGCTTGTCACATACACAGACCATTGCTAAAAGTCGGGGCCCCAGCGATCCACTCGGTGGACCAGAGCAGGTCAGGCCACGTGTATGTACTTTCTACGCCGTGAAGATGTCGCACTATTTCGGCTTAGCGTCCAAACACAGCCCCAGATTTTGGTTCGATTGGGTGGGGGATCTCTACCATGACATGCACACAAATTGCCTGCATCCATGGACTGATTGTGACAGGGATCCCTGACCAGTGCGCTCCAGTATTGTCGCGCCGGAGTGATAGCTGGGGGCCCGGTTGCCCGTCGACCTACGGTATAGGCCAGCCTCGGGTCCTCCAGCAAAGCCCCGGTTGGGCTGCGGACTCACCCCTCCCGCAGGGGCCAGCGGTGGGGCCTCCGAGTTTCCGGGCCCGAAGCGGGCCGCCAGGCGATGGCGGAGGTCCAGTCCCGGGAGGCACCGGGGGGTTGCCAGTCTGACAGGTACAACGTTCATCTCAGGGCAAGTTCGACACAGGCCGAAAAGAACTACCACAATGACGACACAAAACTAGGCAGAACCTCCAAAGTTGAGTGGCAACCAGCAGCATAACCTCGGTCGCATATTCAAGGGCGCGGGGTTGCAGTGAAGAGAGGCGGTGCAGTGAAAGACAGCGGAAAACGGTAGCTTCCCTCAGTAGAAATCACATCTTTGAACGTTCTTGCCCCCTGCCATCTTTTAATCATATTGTTCACGAGCAGCTGATGCACCTGACTTCTTGGGCGCTATTTTGACATTTCCGGGAATTCAGGGTCTTCTGCAAACGTCGTCACCGCAGCGATTCATCTTCTTGAGCGTCATGTTGTGCCTCTGTCGTCTGTCTTCAAGCGCGTTTTACCACATCGGTCTCTGGCGGCTCTGCTTGTACAGAGACGGGGGAAGTTACAACAGGCCAACTTAGACAGTTGAATCCATGTTTTGCACAACAGCTATACTCCAAAGCTATGAAGGAGTGTGGATGTCCCATACAAGTCGCCCCAAAGTCAATCACTCTGACCCCAAGAATCACACCGTCTCAGTGTTCCACCCTTTCTGGTCTTGAATACCCATCCTTCCGCATCGGCCAAGGCGCTTGATGGAGAGCCCCTGTTTGCGAGGAGGAACGACAGAATGTCAGCAGGGCTGAATTCCAGCTCCGGTACGGCGCCTGCAAACCGAACTGCCAGCTGCCGCACATCCTCGTTGCTCTTATCTCGAGTCTCTGCATCAGACATCTCCTCTTCCGATTGTTCGAAAACTGTGCAGAATAGCTTTCTGACCACCTCAGCGTCAGCGAGTTCGAACTCGATTTTCTTGTCGACGCGGCCAGGTCGTATCAGGGCACCATCCAGGTGCTCTATATGGTTTGTTGTCATGATAAGGACGCGTCCCTCCTGCGAAGCCACGCCGTCGAGGACGTTGAGTAGTCCAGACAATGAAAGACTACCAGAAGGCTTTGGTGAGCTCCGTGATACTTCTGAACCCGAGTCAGACTCATCGGTGTCGGCGCCTCGGGATCGTGTGGTGCCGACTGCGTCAACATCCTCGAGCAGAACGACACAGCGTTGGGGGAGCTCCGCAAACAAAGCACTAAGTCGCCCATCATTGATACCGGCAAGACTGAGGACGTAGATATCGAGCCCGAAACAGCCGGCAATGGACATACTCAGGCTTGACTTTCCGGTCCCGGGACGACCGTACAGCAGGTAGCCCCTCCGATATGGCAGCCCGCGACTGGCGTACCAGGAGCGAGCTCTGGGATCGAGAAAGGAGCGAATGTCCTTGAGGAGCATTTGCTTCAGCTCTTCTTTCATGACGACGGTTTCGATCGGCCTGGTGTCTCGGGTAATGGTCCTTTTCCAGCCGTTATTATGGTGTTCGAAAATTGAGGTTTTGTTCTCCGAAAGCTTCAAGTAGTCGAAGCGACACTCATCCATGAGGTCTCGTAGGATTTGAGAAGAACGGCCGACACAAGAAACCGTCATTGTCTTGCGCGGGAACAAGGCCACTTCGTTTTGCGTGCATTGCAAAAAGAGGAGATGCCCCTTGTACCAAAAAGACAACCGATCTCTCCAAGGGGTGAATCGAAGTGGTTTTTTGGCTGCAGTGTCGCAGTCGGGATGAATCAGGGCTCGTCCTCGCCTGCTGTCAACACTGACAAGGGATGAGCAGGCGTTCTTGGCAAAGTCCTGGGCAGAGACCCAACATTCGAGCATGTCGTATGCCTCATCAGGATCGTGGACGTCGGTTTTTGTAGCTGCGAGACGTTAAGACTGCGTCAGAGCATTAGGGAAAGTAGGGCCACCAACTGAAATATGTGTCCACAAAGCTTCCCACAGTCCTGCACAAGAGCTTGCCACTGAACATCAACATTCCGTAGATGCACAACAAGGCGGCGTAGCTGTCCAGGTTTCCACTTAGAAGCTGATGTAACGCCGCCGTAAAGCCGGTGAAGCCGGGGAAGAAGATGTCCATGACAGAGACATTGGGAGAGCTTGTATGATGCATGGCGTAGATAGAAAGAATGAAAAGAGTGTTCTGTCAAGTATGTCTGGCAGCGATCAAAACACCAGTTGTAATGGTTTGAGTTCAATTTGTCGATTGGTTGTGGACATTCACACAGCAGAGACACGGGCTGGGCAAATTTGAAACAATGGAGCCTTGGTGGGAAGAAGGTGCAGAACAGACGTTTTATAGCTGTGATGGCTACCCGTTGGTGATGTTGAGGCCGCGGACGGAGGCCATCCTGCCAGCTACTCTGCAACTCTCCTCCCTCCCCCACACCAAGAGAGGGCTGTTGGGATTTCCGTGCCAAAGCCCTTGCTACGCTTTGCAGATGTTAGGTTCATGCGTGACGAATTGGTGGCCCTATGGGTAACAGGTCCTTTGGCGATATCCCTTTTCTCTGAATCCTCATTATGTAAGCATGCAGCAATCCTCTCCTACTGCTTGCCAAGGATGTCGATTCGAGTTGGAAATGCCCCAAGCGTGCACCGTGCACCATGCACCATGCACCAGAGTGCCTTGAACTGTGCACCTTGCACCACGCACCAAAGTGCCTTGAACTGTGCACCATGCACCAAAATGCCTGAAAGCGTGCACCACCCACCTCCCACCCGAGTGCAGGCGAGAGTCGTATTCCTGAACATTCACATTTGAGATATTCGAGGCGTAAGTTCCGTCATTTAGGATGAGATTGTATTAGCCCCAGTGGCGTGAGAAATGCAGATAATATCATATTGTACATGAGATGGCCGGCTTGCAGCTCTTATTGCAGGCTCGGATTGCAACATACTGCATGACGGAGCCTTCTGTATGGTCTGTACTAAGGCCACTGGAATTGAAGTAGGCCCCATGTAATCGCGACATGCGCAGTCTTCTGCTGACACACATTTGCTGAATCTATTGAATGAGTCGGTGTGTATTGTTCATGTCACCAGAATTTGGGAAGTTTGGTGACGAAGTCAAACTTGGTACGGCCGTTTCCGCCGTGGTCTTCTGACCTTTACATCTCGTGCAAATCCAACCTTCAGAAGTCACACCTTCCGTACAGTACTGGCATCCAGGCATGGTGACGCTATTTTGAAGAAATTACACTTGAGACTGCTGTGATGTTAGTGTTGCGCGCAGAAAAAGACCAGACGACTCACCGCAAAGGTTGGGAACTTCGTTGAGGAAGCAATAAGATAATCATCATGGGAACTGCGTAGGTGGGCTGACTCAGATATATAGCAGATGAGGTGGCGAGTCCATACTTGCATATGACTCCGATGAAGATCGGTTAAATGCATCGAGCAAGTCCGGCGCTTCGGAACAACCATATCGCGGGAAATTCCGGGCATCAATGTGTCACGCCTACCAGCCCGATCTCCAAATCATGTCGAGAACATGGTATTGCGCAAACAGTTCCCGAAGTACCTCCATCCTTTCCAGAACGCTCGCGATAGAAAAACACAGCAATGACGACATCGAATTCCGAGCCCGAACCGTATGAGCTCTTCAAGAAACGTGGAGTCTTATGCATGGAAGACGAAAACATCGGGAAGTTGGTCCAAGAAGTGGATGACCAAGGCCTCTCCACCAGCCTCGAAAGCTGGAAATTTTTCAAAGACACGGTCCACGGAAACCCTGTAAGGAGATAGGCATCGGTAATCATTCATCTCTTACTCTTTCTAGACAATACGACGGATACTTGAAGGTTTTCTCGAACCGCCCAACCCGCACAGATGTCACACTTTTGGCCCGGAACCCGGTCAGGTCTTCTGCTTCTGGCCACAACCGGATCAAACGCATCGCCTGGTCCTTTCAATGTGGAGTGCGGGCACGAGGCTGGAATTACATGAGGGATCACACAGAGGTCCGCTGAAAGCCGTTTTAGCTTCGAACGGGCTGTTCGAAGTTCCCAGTGCGTCCCTGGAGAAGCATGGCATTCGAGCTATACCCTATGATATGGAAAAGGGTGGCATGTAAGTGTGATGCATCCCATGCTCCTGTCACTCTTTTAATGTGGAGTAGCACAATCTCGGACGTACGATTCGCCTTCGAGAGGAAAGATGGCTTCACGATTGCATACAGGATGGAGAGTGCAACTCCCAATCAAGACGGCGTACCCAAGGGTGGATAGTATTACAAGCAATCGAACGATACATCATCATGCATTTCCGCCTGCGCCGTCGACATCTGGAGAAGTTGGTCCGACATCGACCCAAGGTTAGAGACTGGACCGTGGCGTGGTGGTAGCGAGGTTGACTCGGCGCCCACGGAGACCGTAGACCACAAGGGGCTAGGAAATTCTAGCAATTGACTTTGCCAACTGATTCCTAATGGCCAGAATAGGGGCGGATGAAGTGGTGGGGAGTGGGAATACTGCGTGTCATCGGCAGTGACGAAGGCCGAATGGTCGGAGTCAAACGCGACGGCGCCGGTTTGTCGGGAGTGGCCATGGTTCTCTGCTTCCACTGGGGCAAGCGCTTCCACCTCTGAAGAAAGTGTAGGCGGTTCATACTGGGTTTCATCCTCATTGCCAACATCCGGAACTTTGCTTGGTCGCCTCTTGATCTGGCTTGCTGTCTCGGTCACACATTCCATCTTGCTTTTCTTGGCGTATAGATCCCGCTTGGCTTCGACGAGCAACGCGGTGCATCTCCTTTTGACGTATGTCCGCTGAGTGAGAGGCCCGGCCTTTGCGCACTTATGGGTTACGTACTTGCGTCCCGTAGTGAATGTGTTCGAGCAGAATTGGCAGAACTCCTTGCATTGGTAATCTAGTAACTATAAGTTAGTCCCCGACCTGACTTTTGCAAATGAGCCTTTACGCGTTGTGTAGTGCCGTTCGAGATCTTGCTTCCTTGCAAACCCGGCCGGACATTCCGGACATGCAAATTCCCTCTGCTGGTCCGATGGGTTACTTTTGTTGGTTGCCCTTCGAAACCGAGATTGGGACTTTTCTTCGTCTTCCGTCTGCGCCGGAGGCAAGGTATCAATTTCGGATTCGATGGTAGCAACGGCGTTGACGATTGGGAGGAGGGAAGCGCGGTCGTCCGGCGACTCAGTAGTTTTGAGCTCCGGGCTTTGATGGGCAAAGAGTTCATGCAACTTCGCGAGCAGTGTCGCAATTTCGGTCTAGATTGAAGTCAGAAAACTCACACTGCTTACACTGCTTGTTCCCATGCTTACCTGATAGTGCCAAATATGCTGTTGAAGCCGCTGCTGCGTTGGAAACGGCCTCGAACAGACGTGGCATTGATTGACGTATGACTCCATGATCGAAAATAAGGATGGATATGAAGCCGAGAGGAATGCTGGGCTTCCCCTACCTTCAGCGATATTGCTAAGATAAGAGGTCACGTGTTTTATGGATATCTAGCAGCAGCGGACCCCTGGAATTGAGTTTCGTCCCAGGGAAACACACTGTGTACAGCGGGGTGGAGCACACCGATCACAACACCCCTCGGCGCACGCCATCCCGCAAGCTCAGAGGTTCTCCGGAAACTCTCGCCAAGAGGACAGGTACGATCCGCCCACAAGTCGCCATGGTTCCACAGTTCAATTACTGACCCTGGTCATCCGTTGAGACCGGGCGTCCATGAGGCCCCAGTAATAGCCCTAGGGACAGGGATCCATCCGACTTTGTTGGCCAGCGACGACGGGGTTCCTGATACCATCTCCAATTGTCGATAGGGCAGACGACCAAGTTCTTGCTCTAAGGGACAAAGCCACAGTGATTTTGCTAACTAGAGACGCCTCGTGTTGGAGGGAGAATTGAGATCGTGATCGCTCTCATTCTATACGTCCATGGTCTTTTCAATAAGCTGGGTCGCAATTACAGGCGCAAACCTATCAATCGTGGATGCTGAACAGCAGCAATGACGTTGGTGATGTAAATATAGCCAGCTAAATAGGGGATGCAATGGAAGGGGGCTGGAGAAGTCAAGAGTGTTTCTATGGATGATTGCCCAGAGTGCACGAATCCATGCACCCGGCTAAGCACTATAGGCGCACAAAAACGTGCACCTCATGGCATCTTTGCCTGCAGAGCGCGTAAGGTTGCACTGCCCCAGCAAATCCCGCTTGGGCACAGGGCTCACTGATGCCTTGGTTCTTTTTGACACAGGACCTTTTTCTAACCTGGCTGTGATGCAGACCCCACAAAACGTTCAACGTGGTGAAGTAGATGGTGTTGATGCCATCCCAAATAACTGGCCATGATCTAATCACGAGTCCAAAAAGTCCATAGATCCTCTCACCTCTGAAGCCGTAGTTTGTCGAGAGCAAAAGCTTTCTAGAGATTCCTTCCATTGCCTTTTGCCGTCCATCTTTACACTGTCCACTTTCAACCACATAGTCGGGCCAGGATTGTCCTACAAGGGATAGATGCCACTCGTTTATATAGATCTACTGCAGGCCCAGCAGATCACTCTAAGCAATACAACCACGCTTATCCCCATTCATTATGCCACTGCTGACCATACTGAAGATCTGTCAACGAGCCTCGCGAGTTTCTACGGTATTCCCAGGTGGATTACTAATTGCGAGCCGAGGCGTTTCTTGTAGAAAATAAGTATTCTGATTTTCCCCAGTGGGCTCAAATCAACCGGGGCGGCTTCGTGAGGGCTGTGGGTTCTTAGGCAGAAGCCTATGAAGGAGGTTTGGCACGGAGGGGTCTGCGTCTCCATGATTAGGGGACTCATTTTCAGAGATGTGTAACGCCGCCACACGACAGCCCATCCTTAGAATCACATGATTATTACTTCAGCAAGCGGAGATCAATAGAACTGGATTATCCTTACATGACCCTAATGGACGAAAACGGCCTCGCCACCGTGTCGTGTATGAATTCGCATCCAATAATTCGCTGGAGTCCAGGAGTCCCAGGACAGGAGGAGGTGAATAGACCTTATTTTCTAGACATAACATATAACTTCCTTCAAGCAGTGTCTAGCGCCGTCGTCTATCAATAACACAGCATTATGACCAATAACCAAATATGGTGTGCAAGAATGATATGCTCGCCATGTGAATCTAGTAAGTGCCGCTGAGATCAATGTCACTGAAATTGTGGAGAACCTGGTTACAGACGCCATCTGGAAACAAGCCCCGAAGCGACTTCCTGACTCAGAGTCGAGTAGGTGGACTTGATTTCCCCATGTAGCACACTTGGCATTGCCTCAAAGAAAACCACCATTCCAATGTGTTACAGGGCTGTACCTCAAGCCACGAGAGGTCTTCGTTGGGCTTCGATTCTGAAAGCTGTAGGACAGACACGAAAGGCCTGTAATCATCTGTAGAAAAGCCGAGCCATATGCTTTGATGGTCATCCAGTTGGAGGGGACTTCCTAAGCAATCCAGACGAATTTGTCCTACACAAGACTGGCGCCTTTCAGGAAACTGAAGAAGTAAACCAATGATGTGTTGTTTCCCACGTAAATTCCGCTGGCACGGCACGATCTTGATAACGCCATCAAGAAGAGCTGAGGAGTAGAAGTAAGATTCAAAGAAAGTCGACTTTGGATGTTTAGATAAAGGTTCGGGGAGGGTCGGAGGATCGGAAGCAGACACTGGTTTAGGTGTTTCAAAAGATAGGTTGCGTACCCCTAGTGGAGAGTGCTCAAAGAAAAGTCGGCTACCCTTGTCTTGGCGTGGAAGATCGATCAAGGTCGGGGCGGGATGCGGCTGCAACTTAGGTTGAGGACAAAGATGGGCAATACGGCCGTATGTCGTCCTAAACTATCAAAACATCAACAACTTTCCTTCATTGGCATGAATGGTCTGCTGGATTACCTACAATTAAGCCTGAGCCTCGTTTGAATTGACTGTATTTCCAGATTTCGGATATCTTCTCTCCCTCTTCCAGAGGAAAATACATCCAAACTCCATCTTCACAGCCCTCATAGAATGTGAGATTTTCTCCCGCCACATGGGCATGGAACGATATGATCCGATAATCCCAATAAACTGAATACGCAGTTACACCTGGTAGGTTGCATACTAGCATCGATAGCTGAGTCGCCGGGGAACTCGGCTCAAGTTGGACCGGTCGAACTGGCCCGGACGGGGGAACCGACCACAGTGAACATTGCGAGTCAGTAGCCTTGGTTGCTGGAATGATTTCACGTATCTTTAAACCCTATGAATCGTCAGTCTCGTTTTTGGTAGAAGAGAGAAAATGTACTTGCATCAGTTTGAATGATCAGCGACGGGTCACGCTCACCAAGCCGAATGATCCTCCACCAAAGATCCCGGCGTCTCTTCGCAGCTGGAGTCTGGGTAGAGCTGCAAAAAAGCACCTGCATCACACCAAGATAATTCTCACCAATATACACAGAATCGATGGGCAGAAGAGGTTCAGGCTTGAAAACAGACACCATGTGGTGTTTGTCGCATGAATTGCTCAAAGACGAAATGTATTGAATCCCTTCAAAGTCGATGAAACGGGCCCAAATTTCGGCTGAGACGCAAATGCGAGAGCTGCTACTCTCTACATCCTTCATCAGAGTGTAGGCATGCGCCACGGCGTACTTATGAAGATCGGTGCCTTGGAGAAAGTACCTGGCAAGGATCATGAGTGACCGTAACGGAGCTAGCATCCAAAATAACTTCTCAACCTTTTGTATCGTATGCCCACAGGCGTGTTATTCTAAGCGATTATACCAATTTGGTGCAGGTACCTGACACGTGTTACTGTTCTGGTGCGTAGCTGCTTTAAAATGCTAACTTCTTGCGAGGAAAGCCTCTGTGTAGCTTGCGTAGGTACTCCCGGTAGGGCCACGTCGATTGCTGCTGTGTCATTGAGTACTTTTTTATTTCCTGAGTAAGCAAGCTGAACGAGTCGAGCTGTAAGACCCCGTGTTACAATAGGGGTGACGGTGCACGTGGCTCTCTCCGCGTGCCATGTATCCAAGACATACCAGCCCTGTCATCCGTCGTCCTTCGTTATGAACAGTCAAAACAAAACAAGCGATCGCGGAGTCATTCAACACCCGTAGGTACGAGTACCACCGCAAAGAATCCCGAAAGCTAAAATTACGTACAATGTGAAACCTTGATGCCTTTAGTTTGCGCCCCTCCAGAACCCTGTGCCCCGTACCATGGGTGATCAAGACACGGTGCCGTGAATCTTTAAGGCGTGGTTTTGAAGGTGCATCTTACAGTCGAGCGTCATTTTGTAACCCTCGTACTCAGGTCTATCGTCGTCCACGACCTTAGACAAATATTTACGTCGGAAGTGTTTAGTCAAGCCATTAAATATATAGAACTCATAGGTGAGTTCATCCAACTAGACCCCATTATCCGTAAATAGACCCAAGGCCTGGCCGATACAGAAAAGGCATCTCTTAAGCCGCTCCTTATCATTAATTATCACAACGCATCGTATAGCGAGGTCCAACGGGCCGCCCTCTAGCGGATCAGCAATAAAGTAACAAACTACAGCCTTTGGTGCCGACCGAGGGCAAGACCGGGGCAAAGTACATCCTTCCTAAACAAAACAATATAAGGAAACAGCGTCAATGGCTTAATTCCTCTGTTAGCATTGACCTTCGAGCGTAGTCACGATCGGGGCGGTGAGATTCTCGATCAGGTGTCTTTATGCTAGACCCTGAGGTCGATAGGCGTCACCCGTCGCAGGGTTAACAAACCCGATGCCATAAATCTAACGCTCGATATCGTCTATGGCTTACTCGTCAGTCCACTTGTCTCTAATTTTCTATTTAAATTGTCTCCAAAGCCTTTACTCTTCGTTTCGCATCACACGTTTAGCTTCTTTATACTATTTAGAGCCATATAGCAGTTCTCAAAGATGAGAGGACGTGCCATTTTTGGACGTAGTGAAGTTTAAAAACGCCATGAGAAATTTCATTAGTGCCGGGATGAAAGGGATTTATTCAAAAAGTTACTTATTTATACATATAAGACTTACTTATATTTTAATGTTAAGACAGGTTAGTTATTAATATATTGAAAAGTTGTACGTTTCGGTGTAAGCCTACCAAAAGTGGGGGGCCGAAAAGACGGGGGGAGGGTGCGATATCCCCATCCTCTAACTTATGACAGAGCTCGAATCATGACCGGCTTGTGAGGCCGATGCAGTTCGGGTACCCTATATGGAGAGCAGAGATGAAGCATTCGGGTGAGGAATTACATGTTTCATTAACAGTGCGAACATAAACTTGGCGAGAGGTAAGTTGGCCATGCAAGGTAAGTGTCTTCCGGCTAGTCCGATATAACACAGAAATTTCATTCAGCCGAATGGCATGACTCGGACTCAGGTAAATCTAGATAGAGAGCCTGCTCATCATTACGTATTTGCGTCTCTTTCAATGATGTTAAGCTTATTTGCAGTCTATGGTTACTTGCAGTGAAGACACGACATACAACTGAATTAGGGGTTTTGCGGTTTTGTATACCCCCACAAATCGATGTGGCTGGGTGGAAGACGCAGAAAAATTGATTCGAGGACTCGGAGCAACAAATATAGATATCTTACTGTTTTCCAGTGACCTGTCAGTGACCTGTTGGCCGTGTCATACTTTTTTATCAGCTTCAGCTACCATTATCTCATCAGCCACCTTTGCCCCTCACCACCTTACCACAATGCTCAGAGTCGCCGCCTTCTTCATCTTTACCTTGCTGGGTAACACGGTGTTTATTACCGTCATCTTTTGATATCGTGATGCTAACCAATGCGTAGATGGCTTGCAGCCTCCATATCAATTGTTGCTTTAAAAATTATGCTGCTAAGCAAAATCACGTACGCTCTTGTATCATCGCCGTGTTTACTGTAAACTGATTTTTGACAGGAGGGCAACGCCGGATTTTTTTGGGATTTCAATAAGCAAATCCTAGTTGATTGCAATGCAGATTGTTGCAGCACCCAAACAGCAGCTAATGGGAAATACTACGGTGTCCCTTGTTGATTCCGAGCGTCACAAGCGTTCTGTGGGACAGCAGCATTTGTGTGTATCCTAGCTTCGCTCATTATGCTTAGTCTTAGGCTACCAGAGCCTTTCCGTGGCCACTGGCTTGACCTACTTCGAAGTATTGTACACAGGACGTAAATCTTTCCAGCATACCCCGAAACTTGCTCAATATCTGTGATCAAACGCCTCTTTGTGCCCTGCCGGTCTTCAGATTAAATTCCTTCTTTTGACTCCTGGGCATAAATTTGATGAAACCGTAGCCCAGTATTCAAAGCAGGTAACCGCAATCAACTGCGACCCATAGAAACGGTTCTATCAGTAGTGATAAATATGACAACACTATTCCCGGTGCGGCTCTGTATTTGTACATCGTCCATTTAAATGATCGAGCTATGACAGAAGTTTTCCTTCATGACTCTGATAACCCATCAACTGCAAGTTACTACAACCCAGTCAGCATGTAGCCAATCGCGTAGGATGTCTCCTGTTGCGTAAATTTTTGGAAATGGCCATTCTATTCCATACTTTATTTGACGGGGGGTGCCACTTTCATGTATTCAGCATCGGGGCTCGACATACGATAACAAGAGGCGCAACGTTTCCCGACCTGCCAGGACGCTTTGCGGCCCTGGACAGTCTGAGTTGAATAAGATTAAAACAAGGCGCCACGTTTCCAGATA